GTTGTACCAGCTTTTTCCTGTTTCACTGCGAATAATTTTAAAATATAGGTTATAAGATAATGCCTTTTATTTTCATATCTTGGTTTTAAACATGAATGAATTCATACTAACATAAAACTGGTTAATCAATAGAACACAGCTTTGATTAATCCCTCAGTATTATGCACGGATTTACGGATGGCTAATGGCATAGGTATTAAAGTAAATAAGCAACAGTAATGGGGTCTTTCTTGTATGTTTTGCATATATTTGACAATCAAAAATGAAATAATAATTCAAAATGCATGCAGCAACCACTGGGTTAGCAATTAATTCTTCAATAAACGAGAATAATGCATTTAAAGCAGTCAGGGCCATATATAATTTTAGATTACCTTCTACTACCTTATTTGCAGAAACTTTTCCCCCCTAATTGTAGCGATTATTGCATTTATATTGTATTACATTTTCCTGGAACAGAGAAGATAGCTGAAAAATAGGTTAAGATTACAGAATCTGAGATTTTTATGGTTCAAAGTAAATTGAAGGGGAGCCAAGGAAGAAACTCACTGTGGAACCTTGTTAGAAGTGAAGCTCAGCAAAGTGATTATCAAAGGGAAGGTCAAAATTCATTCCTCTCCAAGAAAATCACAGAAGGGTTATGAAGGGGTGTTGCACTCCTACCAGTCTGGCATTTCATATTCAAGATCAAGGTTTAAAATGATCAACAACAGACACAAACCAACACCAGTATTGTGGTACTTTACAAATGTATCTGAATATGAGTTTTGATTAATTACCACCCATTTCTTCACAAACATTGTCACAGTTAGTCTTAAAGAGGGCACAATATTTTTTAATTTTGTTTTGCTGTTGTTGCAGAAATAAGACTAACACAGCTACCTCTCTGAAAACTGTTAATTCTGTGCTGAAAATGTACAGCTGTTTGCACTTCCAATAACTGCATCTACTCCCAAAGAGAGGCCACTGAGAAACCTGGCCCTTTATATATTCACAATCCCCCAAGCTACTTGGTTGGGAGTCATGAAGGTTTGACAAATCCGGACAGCTCAAGTTCAGATATGTTCCAAGAAAAAATTCTTTCAATTGAGCCTAGTCTGTAAGTCAAGCCGTCTGTAAGTCAAGGGTCCACTGTACTTGGTTGGGAGTCATGAAGGCTTGACAAATCCGGACGGCTCAAGTTCAGATATGTTCCAAGAAAAAATTCTTTCAATTGAGCCTCTCGTTTATTAATGTATTATTGTTTACAAGGCACTGAAATAAAGTCATTTGAGACTTTGACAAGGACGTTTTAAGGCCATAAATGTAATTAATTAAATTAAATTGTCCTCCTGCAGTCATCTGCCGGTGTAGGGATATGAAAGAGGTCCTCTTTTTTGAACTCAGGGTGTTCTCCTCATTGTGTGCAAATCATATGCACTGTGAAACCAAGAAAGGAACTGTTTAATCAATGGCAATCTGTTGGGGATGGTGAAGTCATTCCTGTTGTATCACACAGTTATGAAACAGGACACTGGCCAGTACAACCAATACAGCAACACTGTAACCTTGCAAATCACTCTACAACATAACAGAAAAGAGGAAGCTGGTAGGAATCAAATGAATGTAAAAAGACTAGAAGGGAAAAGAGCTCCTTGCCAGGCACTGATAAGAAATTAATCAAGATGCCAAGTAGGCCTTTCTGGGGAGGGGCATTCCACAACTGAAGGCCCAATATCAGACAGGATTGTTCTCTGGTATCCTTCTATCTCACACACAGCTGCTGTGTGAGACGTATCAATCCTCTTACTTAGGGGCAGAACATTTCTAATTCCTGTCACAGGATAGGGCAGAAGTGTCTGGCAGCAGAGATAAGCTCCACCAGTGAAGTCTCGATCATGGGGAACCTCAGAGATCTGGGTGCAAGGTAGGATGGACATGGTATGATGCATGCAAAGGTCCTTGAATATGCAGACCCTTGTCCACTGGAAAAGTCCAAACTGGATCCAGAGGCCCTTTATAGATCAGACAGGCCTCATGCTAAACATGATGCATGCAAAGGTCCTTGAATATGCACACCCTTGTCCACTGGAAAGGTCCAAACTGGATCCATAAGCCCTTTATACATCAGACAGGCCTCATGCTAAACTAGAAGATGGTCTGGTCGACCACTCTGGGCGGCTAGAAGGATGAAAGAAAAATACAGTGGTGCCTCGCAAGACGAATGCCTCGCGGGATGAAAAACTTGCAAGATGAATGGTTTTGCGATGGAGTCGATGACTCGCAAGATGAATGTTCCTGTGGCTGTGCTTCGCAAGACGAATTTTCCCCGTTTTTTGTTCCTGCTTCATGTTTGCTGATTTTTAAATATTTTTCTATGATGTTTAAAAAGTTAAAGTTTTTTTATTGAAATTTTTGAAATAATCTGCACAATATGTATTATTTTAAAGAGCACTTAATAAACCCTTTGTAAACCAAATTTGACTTTATTCTGACTTTTTTTTTTGCCCACAGGAATGCATTAATTAGATTTCAATGCATTCCTATGGGAAAACACGTTGTGCAAGACAATTTTTTTGCAAGATGGCATTAACTTTGGAACGAATTAAATTAGTCTTGCGAGGCACCACTGTAACTAATTTTTTCCATTTGGATGCAAAAAAAAAAGGTACTCCCCACCCCACCCTTCCTGCCCCAGTTGGTGCAACCTGGCAGGGCTATTGAAGTGGCAGTTGGTCTGCCACTTTACCCACCCTTAACCCAACCACGACTGCACTTAAAAACACGTGGAACCGAAGACACATTTTCTGATTTTAAATTTAAGATCAGAAAGGTCACATGTATGGCAAAATCCATTACAAAAAGTAGAATAATGACAAAATTATTTGCAGCTGCTAAACAGAGGCTGGCCTTTGGTCATTTATATAAACTAATCAAGGTACTCTTTATGCAGAAAAAAAATAAATGTACCCAAGTGTGACATTAAGAGTAACAGCAGATGACAACTAGTGGCAGAACATTTCCACCTCCTAGTTCTGTTTGTTATGAGCCATAAAATTGCTATTCTGCAATACAATATTGCACAGGAAGAGTCTAACATAAAGAAAACCATTTGCGAATTTTATATGGTGGATTTTGTTTGGTTGTCAACAAATCATGGGAATGGCCAGTCATGAGAGACAGCAATTGTCCCGTTTATGGGTGTTTATTCACAGCATCAATTCTTCTCTCACTGTTTATCATCTATAGCTACCAAACAGGAGAGGGATCACACAGATGCTGTGCTATTGATGCATCCATTTTATTGAATAGCGAGTTGACAGGTCACATACATTGTACTGCAAGATACCTCTGGTCTCTTGGATTGCCAGACCTTTCGTCTAGTGAAAAAGGAAAAATTTATGGTTGTATTCCTATGTTTCCCACCCCCAATGTGTACTTTATACATATTTGGCTCACAAAACCTTATAATGCAGTAAAGGCGAGGCTGGACTGCAAAGTCCCACTTGGTGAACTAGTAATTAACTGACAATAAAACAACAGACATTTCAGGGTATGACAGAAGTCAGATAAGCCATAATATGATCACCTTATAAACAAATATGTTTATAAGGTCATCATGAGTCAGATTCCTTTCACTGGCAAAACTTCCTGAATATATTAGATAATTATATCTTGACAATCAGGCTAACAGTAATTGCAACTGTAAATGAAAAATTCTTGCCAGGATGAATGCACTTCCATTTGGTAGAAACAAAGTGTTACAGTAGCATTTAATACCTGTGTCACTGGAGTACGCATTTTTGCATGGCAGAAGAATCTGGATATCAAATTTCCAGCAAAACCACAACGAAAACATTGCTTTTAGCATATAAAGGAATGCAGAGAGGGAAATCCAATGTGGAAAGAAGAAACCGTCTAGAAATGTTTGCAAATGGGTCATTCTGGAGACAAAATGTTTCAGCATATGCAATGCAACTGCAGTCAGGATTAAGTCTCTTTCAGCTTGTTGTCAAATACCAAACTCCAATATTAGGACCTCATCTCTTTACAACAACAATTCAGTCAACCCTCCCTTAATCTTCAAAAGCAGCACAAAATGATTTTGTCTACAAGTATGTTTGTGCATGCACAAAGTGTACCTTGGTCACATAGCCATGGGACACTCTACATTCAAACAGGCATAAAAAGAAAGGTAATTTCTGTATTACCATGGGGTCATGAAGAGTCGGACACGACTGAACAACAACAAAAATTTCTGTATTGTACCAATGAGACAAGGTGACATGCAATGGGAAATGTCATGGAAAACTGTAAATCAACATACATGAGATAAGTAGAAATTACTATTTAAAGAAAACCAATAGCACTACTGCTGTTGCCTGTTGCTTTGCTCAGTTTTCAGCTTCATTTCTTTATTTCTTAAAAGGCTCTAGCCAACTACGTTATGGGAAAAAGGAGGCAGTATCTTTGATAAGATAAACATTCAGCATGATAAATACCCTAATATATGTTTTAACAAAGGTTCAGTTTGCAATGCTACATGTGATAGTCAGGCACTGTAAAATGAATTCACCATCAGATACAAATATTCAAAAGCAGCACAAAATGATTTTGTCTACAAGTATGTTTGTGCATGCACAAAGTGTGCCTTGGTCACATAGCCATGGAACACTCTACAGTCAAACAGGCATAAAAAGAAAGGTAATTTCTGTATTACCGTGGGGTCATGAAGAGTCGGACATGACTGAACAACTAAACAACAAAAATTTCTGCATTGTACCAATAAGACAAGGTGACATGCAATGGGAAATGTCATGGAAAACTGTAAATCAACATACATGAGATAAGTAGAAATTACTATTTAAAGAAAACCAATAGCACTACTGCTGTTGCCTGTTGCTTTGCTCAGTTTTCAGCTTCATTTCTTTATTTCTTAAAAGGCTCTAGCCCATCTGCCAACTACATTATGGGAAAAAAGAGGCAGTATCTTTGATAACATAAACATTCAGCATGATAAAAACCCTAATATATGTTTTAACAAAGGTTCAGTTTGCAATGCTACATGTGATAGTCAGGCACTGTAAAATGAATTCACCATCAGATACAAATATCGTTTTTAGCACTGACTGGGGACACTGCCTTCCTGTAGCAGGATCTAATAACTTGGTGAATGTTTTGTAATATTAACATTTGTGTTAAGACAATATTCTTTAAACTTTATAAATACAATAAAAAGAATGAGGAATTTTCCAATATTCAAAATAAAAATCCATAGAAATAAAATGTTTATAAAACACATGTGGCTTTATAAGCATTGTGCTTTCGGATGGCTTAAAATAGAATGGTTATAATGCTGGGGGGGGGGAGAGAGAAGAGGAGTTGATGTGTTTGTCTTCCATTATTTTCACTCCCAGACACAATTTTCCTCAGAATAGTCTGTTGTAAGAATCCAGTTGTGCTCTGTTCGGAGAAATGGCACCTGCAACGTGTGGCCTCTACGTATGGCTATTACTTTGTGGCTTGTTGAAGTACCTCCTGGCTTCAACACTGCTGAGGGACACAGAGCAGCGTGAGGGGTTCTGTCTTCTGTACTCAATGCTATCTGCTATGGCTTCCTTGATTATCTGCAAAAACAGAGGCAAAACAGCCTTGAAATCAGCACAAGTAATGAAAACAGAATGAATAACATCTTCCAGCTGGTTACATTTCCTGTAGGCACCCCTCTTTAAGTGGATGTAAAGTGTTTGCTTACTATGCCTGTAAACATCATGAGGGAACTACTCTGACAGAAGATCAACAGAGGCAGACACTGCTGACCTCAGAAGATAATTGAGAAATTCAGATGGTAAACATGACCTTTTAACCTTCTTTGAAGTACCGGAAGAGTAAGCCCACCACACTTCATGGACAGCTTTCCTAACAGTCTATTTAAATGTACAGTAATTTATAAAAACATTTCACAAACACTCAAATGATGGCCTCAGATACTTCTTCTAAGCATTCTCTTGGGCTTGTCTGATTTTCTAGACAGGGGTTAGAAAGCTTCCCCAAACTAACACTCCCCCCACCCCAAAACTAATCAAGCATTGGAATATCATTTTGAGATATCAGCCAGAATCCTACTGACAAAAGGAAATTTTGGAAGTTATGAAACCCAATTTGCTGCTCATCAATAATAGGCTGGTTGAATTCCTGGATGCACACCCAGTCACATGAGTGGGTATGTACCACATTAATGAGCAGCAATTTGAGACAGTGATTTTCTTTGTGCAAGTATAAACAGCCACCAGAATTCTGACCATCATTAGATATACAAATCAGTATATCAACTGAAAAATAAACAATTCATTTAGAACAGAGGTGAAACTCTTCAGATATCATTAGATCTCCCTTCCCATCAGCCCTAGTCAGCATACACAACAGACATGCATGGCCAGAGTTATGATCTAGTTAAAATAATAGATTAGAATATTTTAAACAAAAAAAAAAGAATAAAGAATTCAATACTTTAAATGCATTAAAAAGATACAAATACAAAACAACTCCCCATTAAAACTCCTTCCCTGGCAGTCAATTACTTGCCAAAAACCTGAATGAAAAGGTGACAGCAAGGAGAGAGCCAGCCCGGCCTCCCCTGGGATAAGTTTTCACAGTTTTAAGTATGCAATTCCCCAAGCAAATCAACGGGGACCATCTTAACTAGATTAAAAAGACTGTGTGCAATGGGAGGAAATGCATGCAGCAGCACAGGCAAAGGCTACATCAATGTCTTGTGAAAATATTACCCACTGTTCCTTGAAATGAATGCATTGTTTTATGCAACAAATATAAGATGGTGCTGCAATTGGTTTTTAAATTTTGCACATGTTGGAAAGTAATCTGAAATGGAGAAACGTAACCACTAGATGGCAGGATCTGATCACATGTTCTCAAATTTGACCATCTATAGCAAGGAAAAAAGCCACTTTGTCTAATGTGCTCTGCTCCAGATCTAATCTTCTGCATGCTAAAGAAAATAATTGTAATATACATAAGACAATTATCTTTGGGATAATACTGGAAGTATATGTAAGGCTAATCCTACACAGGTGGTTGAGGTGGCTCATGTGAAACTAAAAGTCGGAAAGAATATGGATCTAATATACACAGGCAAGTCCTCAACAGCGCCAGCCCCACCCACTCATTTCCTGTGTTTCCAATGTCAAGGGAAGAGGTCTGAGGAATGCTTCTACTCACACTAACTTGAGGGCTGGAGGGATGTAAAGAATGGTACCAGAGATGTGTGTGTGCATGTGTGCCCATTTCTACTTTGCACTTTTAGACCTCAAAGAAGTACATTTAATTGGGTTACTGAAATACTATTGTATTTGTACTTGACTATTACATTGGTGATATTATATAATGTAATAAAAAGCACTCAGGATTAGCCTAACTACTGGATTCATGAAACTGAACTGATTGTATTTGTATTGTGTTATTGCCTTATGTCCTAATCCCAGAAAAATAACTTTCTGGAGAACACTATGTAATGATAGAGTACAGTATCTGGATCCGAGGTCAGAGGTTGGGATTTTGATTTTCCATTGTGCCTTGCAGAAGAAGAGCCAGCTTGTGTAGCCTTGGGTAAGCTACACAGTCCCAGGGCAGCCCCAGAAGAAGGGAATGGTAAACCACTTCAGAACGACATTTAAAAAGGTGAGATACAAAATTGAGAGTAACCAAGAGGAGACCTGAAGAGAAATAGAAGTAGTTACAAATCTAGCTTTCTTCAACACAATCAGTTAGACTGAGTCTGAACAAATGCTCCTGAAAACAACAAGAAGATAGGATCATCGGCATGTTGAACTGCGATGGACAGGTCAGTGACCACTCCTGTCCATCACAACGGAACCCTGATTCAGGAGCCAATGGTTGTACAGAAGAGGTGGGGCTAAGGATATATAAGAGAATAGAAGACAGTTGAAGTTCAGTTTGGAGTTTGGAGTCAGTTAGGGAAGCGCTAGGGATGAGTTAGGGACTGGTGTTAGAGAGAAGCAGTTTAGGCAGTTAGGACCAGCCTGGTGTTAGAGACGAATAGAGAGACAGAGAACAAGATATGAAATGAACAAATACTTAGATTAACATAATTCCACCTAAGCAAATATAAATGTTACCAAAGCACAGTTGTTTGAATAAATGAAATAAGACCATCCATGATTTACATTACATGATTGACTTATGAACACCTTAATAAACATTGTTTAATTGAGTAACACTGATTTAAGAGAGATATATGATATATTGAGGAATAAATCCTCTGGTGGCAGTGGAAAGGGTTGAAAAGTAAATGTCATACCTGAAAGTGAACTTCGGTTGTGTGGGAGAACAAACAGGGGAACTGGGTGTGTGTGAGATAAAGCTACAGCTTGTGGAAGAGGAAGAATGTAACTGATGGAGTTATACATGTGCGCAATTTTTTCTCTGTGTGCAGGCACCTTTATACAGAGATCATCATACTTTTTGTTTCTCAAAACCCTGTGCAATGGCATTGCCTCCTTTTCTTATGTGGGAGGCATCAAAGCATGGAGAAGTGAATTTTTGGACCACAACACCCAGATCCACCTCCTTCCCCCACCCTGGTGGGTCACTGTAGGATTTTGAGAATTGTTGTTCAAAACAAAGAAAATTTCTCTGAGTTGTAAAAGGCATGCACAATCTTGCATGATGACAGTGGTGTAGAAGAATTAAGAAGCAATCAATAGCAAAGATAGACTGGAGTCTAACTTAGCTTCTTCTTCTTCTTCTTTTTTGGGGGGAGGGGGGGAAGGAGTACGAGGTTACTTTAACTCAGTTTGTTCTCATTCCCAAAGTATTCTCCTTGGCTACATGGCTAAGTCCCCCCCCCTTTTTTTCCTTTTTTTGTTTCGCCAGAGTTTATAAGATGCAAAGAGGATAAATGTTTTAATGAGTGTATTTGCTCAGGCTCTCAAATTGCCAGGCTCACCAACCAATGACAAACATTGCAGACAATATTCTCAGCACAGAATCTTTTGGCCTTTTTGTTCCCTACTGGGACCCTTTCTGGCAACATATAAAAGGAGCTTCTTTGTTTGATTAAAACCAAGCCACTTCCTGCTCATCTATCTTCCCAGTTCACTGAGAATAACCAGAATGTGCTTGTGTTTCAGCATCCCTTCTACATAACTAAACAATATTCTCTCATAACACAGCTTTGTTATTCTCTTGTCAAAGACAATAGAACCCGTTTCCATTCAGGATATTGTGCTTTCACAAGATAATTAAGTACTCAAACTGCAGATATTTTTTGGTCAGATTATCTGTCTTCTGGAGGAGAGTTCCATGTTGTTTTGGAGATTGATAAACAAATAGTCAAGGAATACCTTACCACCTTGAACGAGTTAAAATCTCCAGGGCCGGATGAACTGCACCTGAGAGTACTGAAGGAACTGGCTGAAGAACTCTCAGAACTGCTATTTGTTATTTTCTTGAAATCATGAGAAACGAGTGAGGTGCCAGAAGATTGGAGGAGGACTAATGTTGTCCCTATCTTCTAAAAGGGCAAAAAAAGAGGAACCTGGGAACTACACGCTAGTCAGTCTGACATCAATCCCAGGCAAAATTCTGTAAAAGGTTGTAAAGCAGTCATTGTGCAAGCACCTAGAAAACAATGCATTAATAACTAGAAATCAACATGGATTTGTCAGGAACAAATCCTGTCAAACTAATTTGATCTCGTTTTTTGATCAGGTAACCTCCCTGATAGACAGAGGGAATGCTGTAGACGTAGTATATCTTGACTTCAGTAAAGCTGAAGAGGCACTGCCGATAGGAGGTGGGCCAGGGAAGCCAGGGCGCTGCCTCTGAGTGAGCACCTGCCAGGGGAGGCAGGGCTGGTAACTGCCAAATAATTGTTTGGATGAAAAAAAGATCCAGCATCAACTGCCAAACTGGCAATTCACCCCATCTCTACTTCAGAGGGATGGGGATCACATGAAAAGGGTCTACAGATACAGGGATCTCTCTACTTCAGAGGGATGGGGATCACATGGAAAAGGTCTACATATACAGGGATCTAAAAGGCATTAAAAGCCACCACAAAGCATATAAAGTCCCCTTAAGCCAGATTGAACAGTAAGCCACCACAAAGCATATAAAGTCCCCTTGAGCCAAACTAAATTGAATAGAATACATACATCTAAGTTGTTGAGGGTGTTGAACTCCATTAGATCGTGCAGTCTGTTAAAGGCATCATTTGAATATTGGAAGTTAAAGGTGGAGAATGGTGTGTCAGGATCATCAAAAATATCAAAGTCAGCAAAATCCTTTTCCTCCTGAGTCTCTCTTGGAACACCTGCCAAGAGACCACAAGAGATGAAACATTCTAAAGAACATATTAAGCAGTAGATAAGCATAGAATACAAATTGTTTCATGCAAGTTGATAGCTTTTCTGGACTCATGGTCCATAGGGGATCTCTCATGCTTCACTTATTCTGTGTTGGATAGTAACATTCATTTCTTTAATCAGCTAACCAGAACTAATTTTTTTCCTACTGAAAATCTCTGATCTTCAATCATTGATTGAAGATGTGACATTTTCAGTGCTCTCCACTCTTCCACTGTGCTAGAAATCACTTTTAAAAACCAAAATAAAACCCTTCATTTATATCCAGAGAAGCTTGTAAAAGCCCAAATGCTTTGCAAAAAGCATTTGCAGGGGAGTGGGTGCCTACCTAAGAAGGGTCAAAATAAATAAAAATCACCCTACCTGTGCTGTAATGAGGCTTCAAAAAGGTCTTCACTGGTGCCAGTGAAGGCTTCATTAAAGATTAACCACAGCATAGTAGTTAAATACAATAAATCATGTTGTTGGGGGGGGGATTTCCAGAGGGAGGGCAGGAATGGATCTTTTGAGCTTGGTGCTGGTACAAATAACCCATCCACCATGTGCCTTCATCTTCAATCCAGGTGTAGCCCACTGTATTACTATTTTGTACCTAGCTTCAGGTAGCCACACCAGAAATAAATGACAATGATCAGTTTAATACTTTTTCTATAAGGCTACTTGAAATTTACAGTCCATTAAATATAACTTTTTCAACAAGTTTCAAATAAAGCAGAAGCTACAGAAAAACCCCTGCAAGAATAAGGAATAGGAATAGGACTGGTATGCAGCAATAAACAAGGGACATTCATATAAATATGAGTAAAGACACATGCAGAAAGTTTTGACTGTACTGTAAGTAAATGATCTTAACAGACTAGAAGGTTATTTTTCTTTGTGCTTTTTATCTACTGACCTGGTGCTTTGTAATCTCTGAAGTTGATATTGGCTAAAACAAAGTGAATAATGGTTGGGCAGTCTATGTCAGAAGCAGGATTCTTGGGTTTGAAGACATAGCACTCTTTCAAGCCTTCACGATCAAATACATATGGGTCTATTTTGGGGAAAGGAAGTTTGTTCATTTTGGCCCATTTTTCAGCAAGTAAAATTTCCTAGGAAAAAAGCAAAAAATTCCATTTTCATAGCAAGCAGATGGCATTGAAAGGGACATCTTGGATAAACAAACAGAAATGGATATTAATTGTGGTCACCTTGGTTGTGTATCTTACAGACTCAAAAAGATTATCATAATTATTGCAAGCTGAACCCAATTTACATGGTTATGAGGCACAATCATAGGTAAAAAGACCTGTAAGCCTGACTGCCTTGTGTCCTTGGTGGAGAGGAATACACCATTCCTAATTCTTCACCAAGAAAGGGGGCACCTGGGTGGTTATGCAAATCTGCCCATAGTGCTAAACAGGGAAAACCAATCAGTACTGAGTTGTTTGTGAAGAGCCAGGGTACCAAAAGAAGGTACACAGGAGCAAAAGCTGGGTGTTTCACTGATCACTACGAAGTTAAACGATCAAGCGACTCCTCTATATCATGAAGTAGTTCCTCTGTAGTGCTATGAATTACATAGACAATTGTGGCCTGATTCCCAGTTTTTACATTCTTTCCATGTTTGTCAAGAGCCACTGCATTTGTTTCAACTATCTGTTGTGTCATCTTTGCGTCAAACGGCATCTAAAGATATCTTTACATCTTTGTGAAGATGTCTTCTTGGTAAGAGGCTCAACTATCATGCAGTGAACTGAGTGAAAAGTCACATGTCCACAGCCACAAATAAAATAAGTGTGTAAACAAGACTCATGGTTGACTCATTTTATCATATTGGTGCAAGATCAGATTTATATGGAATGCTAGAAAGCACACTGGGGGGAGATTTTAGGGACAGTCCAAATATAAGGGAGAAAGAAGTAAAAAAAAGAAGACATAGTTTGCCTCCAAATGCACAGGGAAAAGAAAACATTCAAATGAACATCAGGAAATACTAATCATTATAAAATAAATGTAGTCCAGTGAAAATATAATTTATGCATTTGCTTAGTTTTTCCATCCTTCTCTCTCCTCACATTCAAAATTCCCTTTGATTTTCAAAGATAACTAAATTCAGATTTAGCTTCTACTAGAGATGAGCACAAATCAGAAAAATGGTGATTCATTTTGATTCATGATTCATCAATGTTGACGAATCACAAATTTACAATTATTTTTTCTGACAAATTGCTTTGTCAATTTATTTTTGACTTTGAAACCCTATAAAACATCCCCCCCACACCAGCACCTAGAGACACCAAATTCGCAGGAAGCTTCCCCTTACTCTCCTCTACAAGCCATCCAGGTTTGGTGAAGTTTGGATTTCAGACGTTCAAGTTTCCTAGGGAGTTCCTAGGAAAGTTCTCCCAGGAACCTAGAAACACCAAAATCATAGAGAAGCTTCTACTGACTCTGCTCGTTTTTCCAAGAAGATTGGGTTTCAGATCCAATTTATACACCCACAAAGTACCTCCCCCCCAGTAATGTGCCCTTTAGCAGCTGGCTTGGGAAAACCCAATCGTCCCCAAAACTGATGGGTCTGTAGAAAAGAGTCAGAGGAAGCTTCCCTGCAGTTTTGTATCTCTAAGTGCCTTGGGAGCTGTTTTATAGCCAAATCAATGATTCAAAAATCACTAAAAATTCATTGATTCATGATTCGTCATGGCATTGATTTAGGTAAATACAAATCGATGAATTAGCAAGTTTTGAAAAAATAGGTGAATCATTTTTTAATTTGTGCCCATCTGTATTTCCTACCATTGATTTTAACAGTCCCCTGAATTCTATTGTAAATCTTTTTTTTAAACACATCTGAAAAATGTTGTTTTGAGATAACCACAGTTAGTGTAATGACTGATGTGAGTACATTTCACCACATAGTTTTGATGATGGAAAAGGTGAAGGGAGAACCAGAAGACTATAAGAATTTCCCATCTTAATCCTGAATTGGAGATCAGCATTATGTGCTCTAGGCTTACATTTCATTTTCATTATGCTTCATTTACACCACTTTAGAAGTCAAAGGGCACATGAAATAGAGGCAAAACTTACATGAGACCTTATATAACTTATTCAGCAAAAGCAGATCAAAAACTGACATGTATATCTCATCTTCAAGTTTATGTGTATTCATCTACCCTCTCTGACCTCTCTTGTGAATATTTCTTGTGGGGAAAAATGTAAGCATAAAAAACCTGATCAAGGACTACTTTCAATGTGTGAAGTAAAAAAAAACACCCTAAAAGATTCAATTCATGCTGAAAATGCTCAGTGGAGGCACATGATTCCCCATCTCCCTTGCAGGCTTGTTACTGCCAAGTTTAACTAAGCAAAACTGAAAAGCATTAGAGATATCTAAAAAGAGACCTACAAATGTACTGAAGTATTATCTATGAATTACCTAGACTTAACTCACCTTAAAAGGAGGACTGGAGTCACTTGGACGTGCAGAGAAATCAAATGAGATTATAAGGTCAACCCCTCGTTGTGGTCTTAAGATAAGTGGATACGGCAGGTTAAAAGTCAGCCCACTATCCACAACATGAATTTTTTTGCTCTTCACATCCAAAGGCTCATATATCCTTTCAAATTCATCAGGATCTTAAAAAAAAGTAGGCAAAAGATGCTGGGTGTTAACATTTTGGAAACAGATTTATCATGTATTTATACTGAAAATGTTAGAACAGGTCCCCAACCCCCAGTCCGTGGCCTGGTGCTGGTCCGTGACTTTGGCAGGACCGGGCTGTGGAGACAGATCTCCCACCTCCCTGCATGCACTCCCCCATGCACATCCACCTGCATGCCTGAACACAGGTGCCCCACCAACCCATGTGTCCACCCCACCCATCCATGCATGTGCAAGTGTGCACCATGCTTATCCACACATGCACGCACCACACCCATCCACACATGCACACACCATACCCACCCATGAGCAAGTGCCACACCCACCCACGAGCGTGCCATGCCCACCCACAAGTGCAAGGAGTGCCCCCCGTACACAGACCCTGCCCCCCACCAGTCCATGGTTCAGAAAAGGTTGGGGACCACTGTGTTAGAATATCTAATACAACTCATGTAGATGTCTGTCTGTCAAGCAAATTCTGCAACCAGTTCTACATGTGCACCACAGTAAGCTCTCTCTGGTGCCTGTATCATCCTACCAACAGTTTGATAATACAAGAAAAAAACTTGAACACATGTGCTCCCATGTCCTTCTGCTTCCTTTCATGCCTACAGTTTCAATCAGTTACTTCCACTTGTACTTATAGCTTCCAGATTTACTCCCAAAGCTAAGTGCTATTTCTGTCTCCAAATTCACATTAAAAATCTCCTGAATTCAAAGTTCTGATAAAGATAAAAGCAGTGGTAAAAAGGTGCAAAAAGACAGGAAAATGTCAGATTTTCAGTTGGACTTTTCTCAATACGGTCCTGTATCTTATTTCCAAATACTTCTTGTCATAACACAAAGATTAATATGTATACAAGACATCATCCAGAAAGGGGGGGGGCAGTTTACTAAATTTAATCCATTTCCATGGGGCTCCTCTCAACTGGTCGCCATATTAATTTCCCTGGAAAATTTTTGGATGCAAATCATTATTAATGGCCATCATCAATGGGGACAACACTTCCCTCCCTAATGCCACTGAGAATTATAATATGTAATGACTTTGCATCATTCTAAGTAAACATATATTGTGGCCACTAGCTGAAAAACAATGGTGAGTTTCAAGAAATTGCCCCCCTTTCCCCAAAGCTATTATGTTTCAGACTATTCATAGTCTGTAAACAAATGATAGAGACCAAATTGCTAACATGTGCTGGATTATGGAGAAAGCCAGAGAGTTCCAGAAAAACATCTACTTCAACCTCATTGAATACGCGAAAGCCTTTAACTGTATGGACCACAGCAAACTATGGCAAGTCCTTAAAGAAATGGGAGTGCCTGACCACCTCATCCATCTCCTGAGAAATCTATATGTGGGACAGGAAGCAACAGTTAGAACTGGATATGGAACAACTGATTGGTTCAAAATCGGGAAAGGAGTATGACAAGGCTATATATCGTCTCCCTGCTTATTTAACTTATATGTAGAATACATCATGCGAAAGGCAGGACTGGAGGAATCCCAAGCCGGAATTAAGATTCCCGGAAGAAATTTCACAATCTCCAATATACAAATGATACCATTCTGATGGGCTCCATGATCATTGCAGATGGTGACAGCAGCCACAAAATTAAAAGACGCCTGCTTCTTGGGAGGAAAGCGACGACAAACCTAGACAGCATCTTAAAAAGCAGAGACCTTGCCAACAAAAGTCTGCATAGTCAAAGCTATGGTTTTTCCTGTAGTGATGTATGGAAGTGAGAGCTGGACCATAAAGAAGGCTGACCACCGAAGAATTGATGCTTTTGAACTGTGGTGCTGGAAGAGGCTCTTGAGAGTCCCCTGGGCTGCAAGGAGAACAAACCTATCCATTCTAAAGGAAATCAAGCCTGAGTGCTCACTGGAAGGACAGATCCTGAAGGATGGTTTCAATCCATTGACCTCTGAAGCTGAGGCACCAATACTTTGGCCATCTCATGAGAAGAGAAGACTCCCTGGAAAAGACCCTGATGTTGGGAAAGCGTGAAGGCAAAAGGAGAAGGGGACGACAGAGGACGAGATGGTTGGACAGTGTCATCGAAGCTACCAACATGGATTTGACCCAACCCCGGGAGGCAGTGGAAGACAGGCGGGCCTGGCATGCTCTGGTCCATGGGGTCACAAAGTGTCAGACAAAACTAAATGACTAAACAACAACAAACATGATAATAATGATGATTATGATGATTCAAAAACACCTGGCATGGTCAAAATTATAGAAACATTGACTGGTATTACCTAACAGATACAAGTCTTAACCAAAAACCTAAATATCTGTTGAATATTGGAGCAGCATGTATGCTGTTCATAATATTGCAGTTTACTGTAGTTCTGATAGTGTGATTTCTGAAATCTGCAACTGCTTATAGTACTGGGTGAAATTTCTTGATATTGTTCCCAAAGCCCCAATGTGTTTCTTCCAGAGTCGAGATGTTTTGATTGGCAGGTCTCTGTACTTCGTTAGTTTTTCCAATTCTTTATTTTTCACTCTGGCATCCTTTGGAATTGTGACGTCAATGATCTACACATTTCTTCATTCTTTTCTTACTATGTCTGGTGTTATGTTCAAGCTGTCTATCAGTTTGGATCCGGAAATCCCACAAGATTTGACTTCCTCATTTTCTTACACCTTCTCGGCCTGATGTTCCATGGGTTTTTGGAGGATGGCACATTATATTTTTTGCACAATGACCAGTGCACTAACTTTGCCACTGTCATCATGTGCAATCTTTGGACATTCACAGATGAGGTGTGACACAATTTCATCTTTCTTGGCAGAGTCAACATCTGCTGTTAGCACTAATTCCTTGGATCTTAGCTTTCATCATGTTGGTTAGAAGTGCTTGTTCTTGTGCAACAAAAATCAAGTTTTCGGTTTCTTTCTTAAAGGTCCCCAGTTTTAGCTATGCCCATGTTGAATTATGGTCATGCTTTCCATCAATATTTCTCAGATGTTCTCCATTTAGTGGTTTATTTTTCTAGCTATTTATTTTCAAATTGTTGTTTCTTATATTGAGCCTTTGTTTCAGTTGTTTTCAAAATACTCTCCATTTTCACCTTAAGTAATTTTTCTCTACTTGTGCTATATAATCATTTAGGGTTCTTTCCCCCTTTTCTACTATCTGCTTCATTTGCAGTAATCCATGATCTCCAATTTTTTTATCTCCATGGAACTTTTTACATATAGTTTTAGGTCATCCATGTATAACAAATGATTGATTTTTCCTGCTTGTTCTGAAATATGGTAGCCCAATCCAGGTTTTATTAAAATTATTGACATAGGGATTAGTGAGATGTGACAAAGAATCCTGTTGAAATACGCCTCTTTTGGTGCTAACTGTCATGATTGACAGAGTTGATAGCGTGCCAGGGAGCGCCAACGAGTAGATTCCCTTGGCCTTCACAAGGTTCTCGCTCTTACTTCCTCTTCACTGCCACCAGATATTAATGCTTTAATATCAATTAAATGTTGGGACACGTGTGATGCCAAAACTAAATCTTTTATTTAACGAGGGAAGATGATAATCAGTAAGGACTCATAGAATAAATTACAGGCTGCAAATCACTTATATTGAATTTGTTAGAATATTTCTTCTTAACTCTTTTAAACCTCTGCTTCCATTTCCATGCTTACAGTTCTCTAACTCACTCTTCATTCCTTTTAAGCCACACACAGTCTCTCAGACTCCCTCTACCGGTCTTTTTATCTTTTCCCCCTCCCCCGGCTCTGCCTTCCATTCTCTCATTGGCTCCTGCGTCAATGTTCCGCAGTGACAGGCAGGTGAGGTCAGGGCTGTTCGCTACACAAACTTCCCCAATTTCTTCACCACAGGCCATTAAGAGAGGTTTCAATAATTCTTTGCTTTTGTTGAAGAACTTCTGAATATTTTTACTAATCCCAAAATTTTTAGATAGGTTTTAATCCAGCTGTGTGGCAATGAGTCAAATGCCTTTTTATAGACTATCTGAGACTTGTTAATATTTGTTTTTCATCGTTTTGCATTCTTTAGTATCATTTTATCAACAAGCAGCTGATCTTTCTTGTCGCTTGACTTTTTAAATTTCCTTTTCTGTTCAGTTGGGTATGGGGAGTTTTTTGATTAAATAATTATATATTGATCTTGCAAGTACACCTGTGAGCAGCCTGAATATTGTTGGAAGGCACCTGATTGATTAATAATTACTGAGTTCATTGCCCTTTTGATGATCTTTTATTATCAAAAATGTGTGGCCTGTTGTCATCCAATCTTCAGTTATGGAATTTTGAAGTAAATGATTAAATTGCACCGATATAAGTTGATGGAGACTTAAAATTTTAGAGCACCATCTTTACATGGGCCTAATTTCTTTTGCTCTGCATTTTATCCTAGTGATTTATAGAATGGGAACTGGTTATTTTAAAAATGCATGTTTTCCCTATATTGTTCCAACGAATGGGAACTGGTTATTTTAAAAATGCATATTTTCCCTATATTGTTCCAACTGTCCACCATAATTTGCTGTAGCTGTTACCTGTTGTTTTAACTTTTCCATATTTCAACAACTTTCCTTTCTAGGTCATATCTTTTGCATAGTCTGGCTTTTACTTTATCACTTCTAAGTTTTGAATCTTCAGGTATTTTAAGTTGCTAATATCTGCATGTAATTTGTTTAATTTTTTTCAGCCAAATTTTCCATTTTGGAATGCCAGGAGTTTTCTGGGTTTTTTTTGCAGCTTGTAACTAGGTTCCATGGTGATTAGTGGAATGCCAGGAGTTTTCTGGGGTTTTTTGCAGCTTGTTACTAGGTTCCATGGTGATTACGGTAGCAATGCTATACATGAGCTGGTTTATTTTCTTTAGTGTGTTGGTTGGAATTGCTCTGATTACTATATTTGCATCTGTCAGTAGATCTTTTATTGGTTTATTTTGCAACTGGTGCAAGATCGGGAGCCTTTGTCGTTCTGTGTTTTGATCAATATGTGTTACTGTTTTTTCCCTCTGTGATGTCTGCTGTTCTGTCAACTCATAGTGTCCGGGTTGTTTCATAGGTTGTTTCTCTACTGATACATTCTACTATTGTGTCTACATCTACCCTCCATTTGTCTTCCATACCATGGTCATTGTCCTGTGTTGATTTTTCTTTTCTAGTTCTTGCAGTTCCACTTCTGAAAACACTTTACTCCAGATGATAAAACTTCTCTGGTCCATTCACTGTTGTTCAGTTTTGTCACTATTTGGGTACAACCTTTTCCAAATTTCCATTATCTTTCTTGAAAACCATGGGCTGTTGGGTTTGCCTTATAATAGCATTTCATGATTTCTAAATTTTCAGGAGTCCACATTTTGTGTTTACCTTGTTCCAGTAGCTTTACAGCAGCCTGTCCTGGTCTCTCAACAGCATCTGCTGAGCCCTGTATCTCATTTGCCCATCAGATGTCCAGGGGCTATAGCATCTGACACAGTCCTTGTTGACCCAGACAATGACCAATGTAGTATAGATTTATTCCTTTGCATCATAATTGATGGTTGGTGTACACAGTTAGGCTGGCTTCTCAGCTGAGACCTGTGTGGCTTGGGTGACCCTTCAGGTAGCAACACTACCACCAGTGTGTTCGAGTATTGGTGTGTTATATACGTTCTTTGAACATATTAATGCAAAAATATTTTAAAATATATTTAGAAAGACAACGATTTTTTAAAAAAAGGCAATACTGTTGTGTCTTAGATCTATGATGTGGAATATTTTTTAGAAGTTCTGTTGCCCAAACTGAAAAAAAAAAGAGCAAAAATATAATATTGAACTGAAAATGGTTCTGAAAAGCTGAAGTAAGGATTCTTACAACTTGTATAAGAAAAAAGTTAAAATAATCTGGAATTTTTAGTACAGACAATAAAGATTAATGGACAATATGTCAGAGCATAGAAAATGGTGGGTCCCTGCAAAGCATTTTGTATAGCAGCTACCATCTAGGGATGTGAAAATCATTCAGTTTTATCTTCACTATGTTTTGCAGAGCCCCATTTCACTCTTGGCCATTTCACTCTCATGGCCGTTTCCTATTTGGCCGTGAGATTTTGTTGTTCTCTCAACTGATAATAATCTCAGAACTGCAGAGCTGGAAGGGACCCTTTGGATCATTGAGTCCAGCCCTTGTCAAAGAGGCCCAGTGGGGAATTGAACTCTCAATCATTCTTTGAAGTGTAATTTTTTTGTTGTTTGTTTTCCCAAAAGTACACTTTATGCAGTTTCCTAACCTATGCATTTTATTATACTACTCCACTGAATGAAGTGTGTGAGCACCTTTCAAATATAGAAAAAAAATAGTCATGTGTTTTTAGAGGAATGTACAGTATTCATAGTTTTGTATACCGTATTTTTCGCTCCATAAGACGCACCTTTCCATAAGACGCACCAATTTTTAGGAGAAGAAAACAGGGAAATATAATCTGTTTTCTTCGCTCCATAAGACGCACAGACTTTCCATCCCCCCTGTTTTGTGGGGAAAAAGTGCGTCTTATGGTGCGAAAAATACAGTATATTTCATTTTTTGCCCCAGCATGTTGCAACCCTTGGAAATATATGTATTTCTGAGATATGATGGGCTTCATCCTGCTCCTAGTATTGGGATACATGACACCAATATTTTAGCAAAGGAACTATGAATCCAACAGATTTCTATCCCTGTTCTTACCAGCCCTTATTATTGGCTAGCTTCATGTCGGCTGATCAAAGTTGCAATTCAGCAACCTTTGAATAGCCACATGTTCCTCAGTCCTCAGTTAGAAGTTGGTGAATACTGAGAAAGCAAGTTGAGTCTGGGAACAAAACAGAATGGCAGCACTTTCAGATCAAAGAAATCTAAGCATCAACAATGGCATTGAAAAACTGCCAAGATGGCTTAAAAGAGAGTGGATAAAGTCATAGGCCAAAATCTAACAGGTAGTCCCAATAACACCTGTAAACTCATTGAATCAATGGGATTAGTACAAGTGTTAATCTGATTTACCATTCAACAACTGATTTAATGAGACTAGTCTTTTTAGAACTAGCACCTGGTTTTAGGCCACAGAGGACAGATCTATGAATAAGTCACTTGCCATAAACACCAAGAAGGGCTTGCTGCATAATTGAATGCTTGCTGATGCAAACTTTGATCTTGCAAAGTCAGGGTGGTGGTGTTTAAAACCTAAAGCTGCCATTAAAAAGCATTTCACCTACTATGTTCAACATTTTAGTGTGTCAGAGGTCCATTCTTGTTCTACCAATAAATATCCGTAGCAGATAGCTATAAACAACTAGAAGCAGATGAAAAAAATATTTATCAATGTACAGGCGGAAATGATGACACAGCCACTTAGAAAAAGCATTTCTGTTAACAAATGCCATTTGAGATGTTGCTGTTTCAGTTTAGCTTTTCAAACACTTAAGTACCATTTAGAGTTCCACAATGACAAGCAATTTCATCATACCTAATGACTTTTAAAAGTCATTTATTGTTACGATAGAGATACCCAAGGCATGAATGGAGGAAGAGTATGGTGATCTAGTTACAACACATATATACTAAGCACTGCTTTGCTTACATATCCATCCAAATTTCAGTGATGTGGGTGTTAAAAAGCTTAGTGGAGAAAACTAATAAACCAGAAATCCTGTACAGTATTTACCACAGAATCTACAATTCTAGCTTCCAGCAACTTCACTATCTTCATTGACAAGTGGTTCTTAACCATTTATTGTCCAATATTGGCGGTGGCGATGGCACCGGATCCGCTGCCAGCACCAGCTGCTCTGGATCCGCCTGTCAGATCTTCTGCCAGCACCGTGGCTGCAGCTGCCTTCTCAGGTTTGGCTTGCTCCATCACCCCATATCGCCCTCCCCTTCTGTTCCTTCACAACCATGTCACCCCTTTAACCCGATATCACTCAGGTTAAGAACCACTGACCTAAATCACCAAGCAGGGACTCATCAATTGCCAGAACCTGATGAAAGTTACACCATTCGTGCTAGCAGGTATAACTAAGCCACAGAACTTTGGCCAACATATTAGTTACATTATTCTTGATGTTTTGGTAGTTAGTATTATTGCTGTGTATAAGGTAGTAACATCCACCAATCATTACAAAACAAATGGATTTCCACCCCTTTGTTGATGAAATTCCAGCTTCTCATCAGTTTTTCTGCCATTTCATTGTTCATTGTTGAGCACAGTGCATGGATTCCAAAGGAGAAGATATAGAGATATGTATAATGCATGTAGGTCAACGGTGACATATTTTCAATACACTGTGACTTTAGACAGAAGGAGTGATCTTCAACACAGAGATGTTTCACTACAAATGGGACTTCTGAACAAATGTGGCTAGAGGTAGACAATATTTAATTCAGTGATTAACATAATCTATTTCTCTCATTCTGTAAGTGAGTGGCCAAAGGCATATGTACTGACCTGCCACAGCCGTATCCATTTCATCATCTTCCACAGATTCCTGAGAGATGAGACCAGCCAGAGGGGAAAGTGGATAACATGTATTGAGGTTCAAGCCCAGCATGAAATTGTGTACTTTGCCAGCACGACCTTCTCTGGTGGTAAAAAGGGCGCTGTCTCCCACTAGAGCCATAAACATACGCTGGACCCAGCTTTCCTGACTGCTCTGTTCATATTCTTTTTTAGCATCAGGGTTTTCTGTGCCTGTATACAGAAGATGCACAGAAGAAGTGACAACACGTAACACATTAGAGAAAAATGATCATACATTCTTCTTGAATTAATAATTCAATAAAAGTCTACTTTATTTCTAATCACCACATAGAAGTGATATCAGGCTTTCAAAAGCTTTGCCAGCAACAGAGTACAAGATGGCGCAGGTTCTAACAAGCAGGTAAACTTCTAAATATCGGTCCAACGATGACTTGCAGATCAGCTACCTGAGACGGGACTAGCTTGGCCCTCAAAGCTCAGCAATAGCCAGTGGCCTCTTGGAGATGAATGGGACACAGCAACTATAAATGCCACAATGGTATGAAATAGCTGTGATCTCCACTGGCGAAGGGACTAAATGCCTCAGTGGAGCCACAGACCTTCAAGTGACCACTGTCACAGAAATTATGCCTTTTCAGAAGAGAAAATGCACTTTACATGCCAATGCAATAAATGATGCTTTAGCTGACTATTCAGCAAAGCAGCTTCAAGTGTTTTGTAATTCTATGCAGGACAGAAAGGATTGCATAATCACTCCACATCAGGTATATTCTGAGGCAGAAACAATGTCACTCTGAGGTTTCTTAAGCCAAGTCCTTAGGCGGCCTGAATCATAACCCTGCATAAGTATCCTGCCTATAACTTGGAGAGGTAACAAAACTGTCTCCTCTAGTTGTATATCACACAGAGAGTTTTAAGAGTATCATAAGCATGTTTTTCCATTGAGTTCCATGGGCTTAATTGCTTGTGAATACATTTAGAACTGATCCTACCGAAATCCATGGGATCAGCCCAGTGCAAATGCTTTAACTTAAGTGGGCATATAATCAGGCTTTAAATATGCTCATAAATGCCACAGTTATGGAGAAGTTTCTTTAGTCTCCCTGTATGTATGTGTGTACATATCTCTATGTGTTACTGACATATAACACCATGCACATGAGTACAAAATGGATTTGACATGACAGCTAAGGAGCTAGGAATCAAAAAATTTAAATCTCAATATTGCCATGAGTTTACTAGCCACACTCAAACAAACCGACCCAGCCTCAGCTCTATTGGCCATAAGGATATAATATCTTTGACCTATCTTCAGGTTTGTTTTTCAGACAAGGCTTAAAAATGGCCTTTGGGTGGGTCCTTTTAAGGAGAAAAGTGGGGTAAAAACATTTTGAATCACTCACTCATTCACTCAATCAATCAATCTTTGGCCTTCATCTATCATCAACCCTAATCAACACAGTCAACAATAACACATACACTGAGCATATCAAAGCACATATCATTGACATTTTTTCATCTGTATGTGAAAACAAAATATTCAGTCCATATTGGTTATTTATTCCTTATTGTGCATTAAGAAAAACTCATAAAAACTGTCTACTCTGTGCAATGGTCTTAATTAACCTATGACCTTTATGTTCCTTTTTTAAGGCAATGTCTTACTCCAATGGGACATACTTTCTTAAAAGTGTCATGTTTGGTGACTTACCTTTTGGCTCTTGTGATTCATCATCACTGTCTGAATCATTGCTTACAAGATGCCGTAGCCTGATATTTTCTGTGGGGAAAAACCAAGCAAGGCTTTAATAGGAGAGATGGGAGAGTCAAAAGCAATTACAAAAGTTACCCCATCCAGTGGGGACACGGAAAATCAACACCCCTACTGACATATACTGTATGACTTTTCCACACATCCCTGTACATACAGAGACTTCTATGGGTATTTATTAAGGGACCAAAGTAGTGGTGATACACCTTTGGTGACAGCATACTGGACCATTATGTGGGCTCTCACAGTCTGCTCTGCACATTGTGAAAGGGGTTTGGTGCATATTCCCCTGCACAGAAGCTTTAACAGAGTATTGCCACATCCAAGGAATCATAAAAATGTGCATCAGATTATTTATTGTTCCATTCCAAGGGATCTTTCATATGTATAATAGCAAACAAATTAAAAAGTAAAAGCTCAAGACAGTTAAATGTTTTATTGAATTAACCCTGCAATACACACTACTCTGCATTGAAAGAGACTGGGGAAAACATTTAATGTTTTATTACTATATTTTCTGGCCATCTGACAGGGATTCTGTCTTGTTCTTTCCAGCATCTCATTTAAAATATTTATATTAAATTTAACAAAATTAAAAACGAATAATCTGACTTCAGCAAAGGTTATAGACACCTACCTACCCTCTTCCTTACCACTAAACCTCTCAAACCTGTACCCTAGGCTCCTTTTCTTATACTGTTATGGCCATGAAGACACTCCTTCACGGTTGGCTCTCACATTATTCTTACTATAATGTATCAGAACATCTTCATATATGGGTAAATCATACCCAATCAGTTATTTGGGGTTTTTTTTCCTGATAGAGGAAGGAGACAGTGGCTGAAATCCTGCTACTTAGCAAATTAAGTCACAAAGTAGGACCATTTGAATCAATGGAACTTACAGTGAAGTTGACACATCAAATCTCCACTGATTCAGGGGGCCTACCATAGCTGTGACTTAGTATGCTAAGCAACAGGACTGCAGCTAATGTGAGCCACTATTATCAGAGGAAGTTTTTGTATTCACCTTGGCAACATGGAAGGCAGCCACATAGAAAGCTTTTATAGTTGCAACCACATCACTAAACATGTACACAAGCTGAAAGAAGTAGCAACAGGAAGAAGTAGAAATACATACAAAATGATGGCTCTGCCCTATTCCACATCAGCATCTGTTTTTTTCAGGGATGATATACTTTTACTGGGATTTGATCCTGGATTTATATCCTCATTACTTCACTGATATGAAACCAGAATTTCCCAATACGGATTAAATGCTAAACTCTGGCTTAAAGCAAATCAGGACTGAAGTGCCCAATGTGTGCAAGAGGAGGAAACAGATTCTGCCCCACCTCTGTACCTTTCAAATATTTCAAAAGGGCTATTGTATCTCCCCTCAGTCTTCTTTTCTCAAGGCTAAATATGTCCAGTTTTTTTCAGTCTTTCCTCATGGCTTCCAGTCCCTTGATGATCCTTGTTGCCCTCCTCTGTACTTGATCTAGTTTGCTGGCATCCTTCTTGAAGTGTGGTGTCCAGAATTGGACACAGTACTCTAGATGAGGCCTAACAAGTGCCAAATAGGTAAAGGTTCAGGTTCCCCTTGACAATTTTTGTCCAGTCGTGTTCGACTCTAGGGGGCGGTGCTCATCCCCGTTTCCAAGCTATAGAGCCAGCGTTTTGTCTGAAGACAATCTTCCGTGGTGACATGGCCAGTGCGACTTTGACACGGAACGCTGTTACCTTCCCACCGAGGGGGTCCCTATTTATCTACTTGCATTTGCATGCTTTCGAACTGCTAGGTTGGCGGGAGAACAAGTGCCAAACAGAAGGGAACTAATAGCTGGAGACTATACAGCATCCCAAAATAGCATTTGCCTTTTTTGCAGTCACATCACTCTGTTGGCTCATATGGCAACTCAAGGACAATTCCAAGATCCTTCTCACTTGTAGGATTCCTGTATGAAGGAATGTGTTGTCTTAGAACACGGCTTCCTAAACTATGGCTTATGAAACCCAGAACAAATGTACAAAATGGTTTCCAGCCACATTAAAAACTCATTTTGCCTTACAAAAGCTCTTAGCATTGTTATAAACTAATGTTTCTAAACAATTCAAACATTTTAGTCATGAATCTCTCGCTGTTGAATATAATATGACTAGACACATGGAATAAAAAGCTCCTGAAAGTTCGTATCAAAGAACTTGCTAAATTGCTCCAAAGTTTTAAAAGCCTCAGACTAGGTGGGCCTAATCTTTCTTTCTTTTTTTCTTTCTTTCTTTCTTTCTTTCTTTACTTCATACAGGAATGACTGGGAAAGGTTTGTATTTCAGACAACAAACAGAAAGACTCCTTTAAATTATATTTGCTATGACTTTTACAAGAGTCATGCACTTATGCAATCTATGTCTAAGTAGATCAACGTCAAGGTTATGCCATGGCACATTTACTTCTTTTTTCCCCTCCACAATATATAGTTACTCAGACAGTACTCTGTCATTAATGTGAATACCATACAGTAAAGTTAAAACAACAGACATTTAAGAGAGGTGACCAAATAAGAGCAAGGCAAAAGAAACAACCTGAAAAGGAAGCAAAGCCACACGTACAGATTCTAAATGCCTGCCTTCAGCCTAATGTAAGAGTTATTTAAACCTAATCCCACTGAAACAACTGTCTTAACTGTGCTTCATTGATGTTGCAATGGATTTTCTTCCTCTTTTAGGTTTAGGACCAAATCCAGTATAAATCCCATCTAATGGACACCTATTAAAATCACTAGGACATAGGTGAGTGGTGCCTTACAAGACTGATTCATTTAAATGTGTGTGTCATAGGTCATCAAGTTTGAGTTAGCTTATAGAAATCCTAAAAGAACTGTCAAGATAAGTGAGACATTTAAGGAGTGGTTTTACCAGTTCCATCACCTCTGCTGTAAATTTCCACAGCCACGCAAGGATTCGAAACATAAATTCAACAGTATTTTAAATGTATCAGAAGATCAATTGCTGCCAATTACCGGGGGAGGCACAAAATCAGCTATACGGGGATGGGAGGGGGGAGCCTGGAGGACAGCAGAGATTTTTGAATCCATTGATTCATCCTCTCTTAATTGTTCCTCTCTTCACACTTTCTTCCCCTTCTTTCTCATAGCATTCTCCTTTCTCAAGGGCCATACTCCAACACTTTAGGAGTTTTGGCCTATCAAATGAGATAAATGGGGATATAACAACCAAAAAAGTCTTCTTGGTAGGGGTCCCCTGGCTGTAGAAGGTTCACTCAGAAAAAATTGCATAAAATGTCCTATTTTTAGTGGCAAGTATCCACAATTCAAAATGCTAGGAAATGGCATGATACTGCTAACCACTTCTCATCCAAAAGGCAAAGCAATTGCCATGGCTATTTCTTAACAAATGTCAATGTTAGTGAGCACAAAAGTCCAAGTTACAAAGGCCAATAATTTTCTCCCAAAATTCCTCAGCTGGAATACTTACTGGCCATTCTTGGGCTGTGGGATTCTGGCAACTACAGTCCCAAAAAGGAATGTTTTCAAATGCTGGCTATGGCCACTTCAGACTTAGAACATTTTATGGAAAATTAAATCCATTCTTTTGAAAATTCCATGGAGCAGCCCTACAAGTCTGTCATGATGTGTCTTTTGCTCAGAAAGCATCTTGTGACCTTACATGTTTATTGTGGTTTTAGCTTTTATAGACTAGAGCCCACCACATCAGACATTTTATATGTTTTTCTCAACTGGCAGATTACTTGTTCCTGCCAATTGAGCATAACCCTCTCATTTGATGTTGCAGGCAGTAGTCCAGGATATCTTACACCATCAAAAATCTGTTAGTTTAGAAGGCCATGAGAATCTTTATTGATTTACAATTAATAAATGGTTTGGTTTACTGGCAATCCTAATTTTCGACTGCTTTATGCTTTGCTATCCTCAAATGCTTAGAACTGCCTTCCAGATAATTGAGTGAGGCCACTTCTTTGTCACTTTGTCATGAAATCCTAGACACATAGTTTGAGTCACATATGGGACAAAATGTTGTTGGATCTTGATTAAAGTAGTGCTTTTGCATCTCCTGAGACTCACAATGAGAATAAATGCAGCTTGCTTTAAGAATGCACCCCTTTTTGAGGCTTATGAGGTGCCTGAGAGAAGGCAATGTGCACAAAATTATGCGCCCTAATTAACATGTGCATTTTAACATGTGGTAATTGTAAAAAACAAATATTTCAAAAAAGAAAAAACAACAACCCTCTGAATTATGAATGTGGGACACTGAATCCATGATTCAAAATGGCAGGAAATGGCCCAGTATTGTGCAATATCATGCCCACACTGCCAGCAGGAAAAAGGATGCCAAGCTCTGCATACCAAAGGGCAGCCTGACTGTTGACATCACCAGTGACAGCAGTCAAGACGGTCTATAATCCCCACCCCTGTACTTACTACCACTTGTTGAAAAAGAGCTCTGATAATTGCTTTGTGTTTGGGTGTGAAATGGTTTCTGGGATTCTGGGAGTCAGTTTCTGGGATTTTCCCTTGCTTGGTCACTTTTTTGAATGGGCTGCTTCCCAGATTAGCAATGAGAACAACACTGGTTGTGCACACCGCACGGTGAGTGGTAAATGGAACTGCCAGTTTGGGAGGGAGAGTCTGGGCTTCCCAGACATCTGTGGTACCAATATTCATATCCCCAAGGATACAAATATGAATATCCCATGTCTAATGAGATGCTATTGATTTATAAGATCTGAGCAGATCTCATCAGGGCAGCCCACCTTTTTTCTAAGAGCTAAAAACTGGTACAATAAATTGCACTGATGCTCTAGAACATAGTTGTTCTTATTATAATCAAACAAATCAAACATCTGAAGACAGAACAGGAAGCATTATCTGACAGGAGATCAAGGCAGAAATAAGTAACAAGATACGTCTTGATTCCTGGTGGGATTAATTAGCATAAGAAAAATGCTGCTGGAGCAGAGGTGGCAGCCATTAGTACAGCATCCTACTTTCCACAGTGACAGGCCAGATGCTGCAAGGAAGCGGAGGAAAGGATGTGAGGGAAATACTCCTTTTGCTGTACTCCAGTAATTCAGACACTTATTCTCTCTGGACATAGGCCTTCATTATAACTAGCGTTACTATTTTCTTGAAGTACAACTCATGGAATCTCCCAGTCAAACTGAACACTGGATCCTGGAAGCTGTAATCCGAAGAAGTCACCTCTCCAAGCTGTAGAAGCCACCGGTAGATTAACCTCTTGAATTTTCTCACTAGAGGGCAATACTACAAAGATATTTAAGGTACCTTAGATATTTAAGGTGTCAAGGTATCTTAGAATCTTGCAAAAGTTTTGTGAGATAAAAATAGAGAGCGGAAATTATATCTAAGCATGGACCCAAAACTCAGCAGCCATTATTGCCAACTATCATATTTTTTCAAAAACTGCAATACCTAGCTCTTCTTCCATTGTGGGCCCTTTATTCTTCGAATTGGAATTAGAAACTCCAAGGACTCTGTTGAATAATATAGCAAATGCACTTCCCCAAACACCTACAGAGGGGGAAAAAGAATAATTATTTACATTATGATAAATAACAATGTATGAAATCCTTTTGCCATAACTTATGCCACATGAGGTTGATAGTGTCGTCATCAGCAATTTTTTAAAATGTTTTAAATCAAACATTTCCAGCTTCTGTCTGAAGTCTCCTCTGTAATCCTGCTCATTGCTGAGAAGCCATGGGTTCCACAGGATGGGAGGGAGAAGCCTTTAATTACTGAAAATTGCCACTGCTGATAAACTCATCTTGGTGATGATGTCACCAATTAACAAATTCTCCGCTGCTGGAGCTCCCATAGCTTTCCAACAGTTCCAGGAATTACATGGGTACCTTGGTAGCTTCAGGACAGAAGTTGGAAATATTTAATTTCCAAACTGCATGAGAATCTTTACATAGTGTATGTTACATCAACGTAATTTGAGCCATTTTTTAAAACTTAAAACTAGATCGTATCTTGGTAACAGTTGAAATGGATGTTCACTAGGTTAATGCACCTAAATGCATGTTTAAATAATCAAAGTTCAAACCACGCATTGGACAGAAATGTTCTATTAGCACCAAAGCCAACTCACATTTGCTATTATTCATCACTGTGTTGTGTGCCAGAACCCACAGAAAGCAGCAGGGTTTAAGAACCAATCAAGTGGTCCAAACCATTCTTCTGTCCTGTAGGACAGTGGTCCCCAACCTTGGGCCTCCAGATGTTCTTGGACTACAACTCCCAGAAGTCTTCACCTCCACCTCTGCTGACCAGGATTTCTGGGAGTTGAAGTCCAAGAACATCTGGAGGCCCAAGTTTGGGGACCACTGCTGTATGACATACTCTCAGGAATAATTACTTTTGGCACTGCATAAATGTTACGATTAAAACAAATATCCAAGAGTGGGTGAAATTTCACTAGAGTGGCCCTTTGTAAGTAGGACTATATTTCCTCCGTTTCATCTGTGTGGTGACAGTAGTGGTCTACCTGAGAGGAACTGCTATAACATCAACAACATAACAAATATAACGATCTTTTGAATATTAAGGTAATGGCCAAAATAAAAACTAGATGGAAATTGTTAGTTATTATATATGTTTATTATGGATAATATTTACATACATTTGTTTATTACTACAGATAGTATTACTACAGATCATATTTAATTTCGACATAGAATTTTCAAGGGCACAGCAATACCTAAATAATGAATAGAAAAAGGTGGAAAATATAATTCTGCATTGTTGTTAGGTGTTGTGAAGCTGGAACCAACTTACAATGACTCCAATAGGGCATTCAATGTGAGATATTTAAGAACTGGTTTTACTAGTTCCACACCCCTAGTGAATTTCCATGACTGAGCTAGGACTCAAACCCAAGCCTCCTGAATCCTTATCCATCACTCTATCTACTACACTGGGCATCATTCTGTATAACTGGGTATAATTCAAAGCAATTACTTACCCATTAAGAAATGCAAAGGATTCTCTTTATAGTTCTTCACTACTGTTCCCATGAAAAATTTGCTGCCAAATAAACTGGGAGTCATAAAGGTCCCATATTTAGCCATCCCAATCTCATAAGGACTGAATTCTACCCAATCTGCGAATAAATTTATAAAAGAAAACAAAATATTGGTTAGCATGAAATGCTGATCAGCACTCTGGGTGAATCTATCAGTTTCCCTGTTTCAAATGTTTTTAAAGCTCAAATTCTTTCAATTGAATTTATGGAGAAAACTGAATTTTGGAATGCACTAATGAAAAAAAAAGGAAACCAAATTAAATTCCCTCTACTTAACAAAGAATGCTAGTTAGCATGAAATGAAAAACACCAGATACTATTTAGTTTACCACAGGCACAGTACCCATGTGAAGAAGACTCCTCAAATCCCAGAGCACTAATTTTCTTCTCTCTTATCCACCCAACCACACAAGGATATGAATATATAGTAGTTAACCTGCAATGCATACACATGTGAATCTAGAATTATATTAAAGTGGAGCCGGCAGCACTCCAGATATTGTCAGATTGCAACACTCAGCAACTAGCTAGAGAGTGGCAGTCCAACTGCACTTGGGGAGCCACGCTATCCTCTGTTAGAGGAAGGCAAAGAGTTAACCCTCCTTTTCATGTTTATGCCAATAACTAATGATGTGAGAATGGACATTTTCATTTAGAGGAAGGCTGGATGAGGATATAAGTAGCATGCATGTATCTTCTGCCTCTTCTAATTATATGTTTTGCTGCTTGCCTGACTGAGTGAGCAGAGGACGCACATCGTACAACAGAACTACTCTGAGCTCACAGCAATCATTTTGTATGAATGCTACCCTTACAAAGACATTGGACTGCATCCATTGAATAAGAACATTCCCAGATGACTTGGATTGTTTCGAAAGATGGACAAAAATATTTTCAGAAGCACAGCTGCGTAACAATGACCAAAAACAATGGACAATTTTAGAAAAGACAGACCATTTTCCCTTTAATTCTGAGCCTGTCAAAAATTTCTTCAGCAGCAAAAACAAACCAAAGTTTTTGGAAGAAAAGCTTTCTTGAGTAAAACAGTTTATGAGATTCACATCATTTTTGACTCTCCATTCAACGAGCGATGATTGAACAAACAGATTTGAGGGCCAACAGGATGGTTACAAAGAGTACTGAGGAAACTAAAAGCTAACAGATTTAGGATGGTATATCCACATATGCAGAAGTAACCCCACTGAACTCAAAAGGATTTATTTCTGTAGATGTACAAGAGTGCAGTGTTTGCATGGCATGAGCATTCACAAACTATACTTTTATTGCTAGAGCCTATTCAGATGCACTGTATTGTTTTCACTCGACATACACAGAGAGAAAGAACAGCAGTAGCAGTAGCCTAATCTTTTTAGCTTTGCTCTTCTTCCTGTTCCTCCTGTAATGGAACGTACGGTACCCCTGTCCTCAAATCAATTCTGAATTAGCAGAATTTTATAAAATTATAGTTCACAAATTGCACACCACATAGGTGTGTACACTTGAACAAAGTCAAGTGTCATACTGTTGAACTGACACCCATTTTCATAGTGAGGAGGACAGAGGTAATGGTGACTTTCAAGTAAGAAAGACTAATCAGGTTGAAATGCTGAATTGGTTCACTGATTCTTCATGCATCTCATGAAATGAGTTTGAGTCAACAAAAATTTATACCACAATTAAATCTGCTAGCCTCTGAAGTACTAGAAGATGCTGAGTTGTCTGTGCTACAAGAGACGAGTGAGACCACCCCACGGAAACAGAAATATTATGATGCCATCCTATGAAAACAGAAAAATGCTTCTTGCATCTCAGAAAAATTTGCTCTACAATTATGAGACTCTTGGTGCAATTAGTTCAGCAACAACAAAAATCTGTTCAGTCCTTGTACACAAGCAGGATGGATTTGATTTAAATCAAGTTGATTTAACTCACAATTTAAAACACTAGTCAGCAAGACTCAATTTAAATCATGATTTTTAAATGTAAAGACTCATTCTTGTTGGTAGTTATCTTGAATATTTGCAACCAGATGAAGATTTCATATTTAGAATAATAATCTGTCAGATTAGTAAAACAGCTACTGTATATCAGAACTAGACATGGGGATAAATATAAAAACAAATCAAGATATTTGTTAAATATTCCTGATTCATCAGATATTTGTTGCTTCATATTCTTGGGGTCCAGAGACTCCAACGAATAAGAAGCAACAAATATAACCCTTTTATATTCATCCCTTCATTCCCTATCTACTTATGCCACCGCAGATCAGCTTTTCCTTGGGGGCATATGCAGAGAGGCGGTGTCCCTTTCGATGGAAAAGGCTTCAGGAGTTAACCTTGAGGCAAAATCCAGAGCCGGAGTCCCAGAGGCAGTTTGTGTCATTCTGGCAACTCCTGTGACATCGCTGGAACTAGTTGTATTGGCTCTTCCCTTTCCATTGGACTATTTCAGCGACGTGGAGAGGGTTGATTTGCCGCCTGGGTAACAGCCTATCCTCCATATTATTTTACCCAGGCTTTGTGCTCTGGAGAGGACACTCCAGCTTTGCATACAGCGTTGAAGTCCTCCATACAGAGCACATTACCATAGTCTCTCGAGACTGAAGGATGTCAATGAATAAAATCTCAGTGCAGCTTGCTAAATCAAAGCTTCCCTCAGAGGGTAGATATGAAGAATGCTTTGTAAGTTGGGCTTCTTGGGCAATAAATCAGGAAGAAAACTGAGTATGTTGTAAAGCTCTCTTAATCCAAGTTTGCTCTGTACAAATGTCATTCTTAGCTGTAATTAGCATAAACCATTATTTGGACATCTGCTTCAGAACACTTTTTTACGAAAGAGTTTTCAGGAAATTCTGAATCATGCTTAAGGTATTCTGAGTTAATGCTAATGAATACTTAAAGACAAAATATGGCTGAACAGATTATGTGACATTGCATAATATAATTCATGACACTGACACTGTACAACGTCGCTTTTCATCACGGTGTACAGCAACACCCTTGGCGTCTAGCTTCCTGGCTTTCTAGTGGCTCAGCCAATATGAGAATAGTCTTAACTCTGATCTTGAACAGCTTCCTGCACCTGCCCCTTTCATCTTTTCAGAACTCATTTAGGAGTCTATCGTGCTATTATGGGGAGCCCTTCAGCAAACTATGTGCCAAAATGTTCAACCTATACAGACAACATTTAAAAACAAGATACCTATGGGTGACACAGAGAAGTGGCAAAATTAATTACAGTTAAACCACCTGTGAACAAGTCTAAACACATCTCTTTCTTACTCATTGCTACAGCAGGTGCCCCTATAGAGTGTGTCTGACTTTTAATAATTACTTATGGTCCTGGGCATGATAAATATTCATTAGGAACAAAAATGTTATGAATAATGTGAATTCAAAACACTTCAATTTTGAAACTTGCTAGCAGGTAGCAGAAATTTTGACCCAGTTGTTCCAAAGATTGATATTTCAACTGAATAAAGACACCTGTAAGTAGCACAACCAGCTGACTTAAAATCCATAGATAAAGTAATGAAAGAAAAGCTTGTTGCTTCATTTCTTTAAGACATTCCTATTTATTTATTTATGTTATCTTAAACATAAGGTAATGGTGGGTAATGACTCTAGTTTCCGAGGTGCTGTCAAGCTACTCTGGGTTTTGATCTGCAGTTTATGAAAGTTACAAAAAGTGTTGGATCCTCTTCCGCAAAGATGTTCAGTACCTTGGGTAACTTAAAGTGGAGAGTAAAACACACAGTGGATTCACAGAACTTCTGAAACTGCAGTCACCAGCTGCCTTTGAATGTAACTGTGCAGCTCTCATGTGACTGATCTCCAACCAGTTGTGAAACTGGAGGTTCAACTGGTCATGCACCCAATCGGGGAACAGGAGCCTGAAGGAATAGGAAAATCACTACAGTGGTGCCCCGCTTGACTATGACCCCGCTTGATGACGAAATCGCTTTACGATGACTATAGTGATTGCAAAATGTTTCTATGGGTTTTTTTCGCTTAACGACAATTTGGTCCTTGCTTCGGGAACCATTTTTCACAAAATGATGATTAGAAACAGCTGATCAGCGGTTTGCAAAATGGCTAGCTGCTGTTTTCCGGACCGATTGTTCACAACACAGGGATCATAAAATGGCTGCCCTACAGAGGATCTTCGCTGGACGATGAGGTATTTCCTTCACTGGAACGCACTGACTGGCTTTCAATGCATTCCAATGGGTTTTTTTGTTTGTTTTTTGCTTGATGATGATTTCGCTTAACAGCGATTTTCCTGGAACGCATTATTGTTGTCAAGCAGGGCACCACTATATATGATTGCCCTTCTGTGCACTGTTTTTCTACAGTTTAATTTTAGCCATTATGGGTTTTTTTTTGTTTTTTTGTCCAAGTGAGACAAAGAAAAGTATTTAAATTAAATGATACCAGAGGGACATAAAAAGAGAACTGACTAAGATGAAGAGCTGAAATTACTCAAACTAACATAATACTAATTCAGATTGCTTGCATATACACAACTATCCAGTTTGATGAGATTTGAAAGGAATAATCCAAAGAAGCAAAAAACAAACCAAGAAATAATTTGAAATGCAATCTTGTATGTTTTTTTTTTGCATGAATCTAATCAATGCACCTACATGCCATTAAGTATTTTTAGTCTATAAGAAAAGACAGCAAGTACTCAAAACTGTAAGATAAGTATGTTTGAAGGGCACTTGCACCTATATGAGCCTTAAAATCAGCTGGAGGTGCTGCTCGTGTGTATGTCAAACACATTTGTTAGACTGCTGAGCATGAAACAATGGCCTAAATCCAATTGCTAGTTGCAGCCTGAGTAGACTCACTGAATCAAACTGCTGAAAAGAAAGTCAACACTAATGTAAATCTTTTTGATTCAATGTGTCTACACTGGCTTGCCAACTGGATTCAGGTGAGAGTCTTTTCTGTGATGGCTCTACCCTCACAGACTGCCTCACCTTGGAATGTGCAGGTAGTCTTCTCTTTGGCTTAAATGCACCTTAAATTCTTGAATATTGCAATCCACTTTTGAGTGAAAGGACGCCTGTTTTTATTTTCTATTTTATATTGTTATTTTAAATGTCTTATGTTGCTGGTCTAATTATATTTTGTAGTCTTACATTTTTACTTTGTAAACTGCTTCAAAGTGCTATCTCAATAAACTGATGAAAATGTTTTTCAGTACAAAACAGTACAACAGACAGACAGACAGACAGACAGACAGACAGACAGATAGATATTGTGCACAACTATATGAACAAAGTTCAGAAATAAACAAAAATGAGTGAATTATGGATTATTTATTACTGGTGCAAAATCGGAGAATATTGAAGCTCAAAACTGAAAGTGAGAAATCAAACTGGGAAAATTTCTTAAGTATTTTAGCAATTTGATCTATTTGTAAAGGCAGTCCTGAAATGCAACTACAGGCAACATCATCAAACTATGGTGGTGGTCCTTAATCTCTTCTGGGTCACAGACTCCCTTGAGAATCTGCTGAATGCTATGGTCCTTGTATCCCCAAATAACACACAAAAACACAACCAGTTCACAAGGCCCCCAAAGCCCAACCATGGACGTCTTAGTGGTCCATGGCCCCTAAGTTAAGAACCCCTGGTCTAAATATATGTGTATGCAGATACATTCATGCCTGAGAAGTGAGCTGAAGATCATACTGTGTCTGGAATGTACAATGAACATCACAGTCCATTTGTAGGAGCCAGGGTGGACAACAAGCACAGCACTGAAAGCTATGTTGAAACCTCCAGCCCCCACTCTGTAACTGTTGAAAAATTTTGCTCAGAAAGTTTCATTGTGCTCTTTAGGAGGCATGGGAGTGGTTTTGTCACTTTTTGGGGGGTGGGTGGGGTCCAGCACTTTCAGTTTTAAAAAATGTTCAATAGACGACACTACAGTGGGTTTTTTCTTTTTAAAAAGCCACTTTTCAGCTAACTAAAAACCACTGCACTAACCTTTTCAGTACAACGCAGCACTAATTTAAAAAAATTGAACAGTTTAAAAATTCAAATATGCAAATTGACTTCTTTGGTCTCCCCTTGAGAGTGTGGGTGTCAAGCTGCCAGCAAATCTGAAAAATGGATCTCAGCCATAATGTAAGTCCAGAAGCAATCCATCCATCCATCCATCCATCCATCCATCCATCCATCCATCCATCCAAGAATTACAGTATAGTTCAGCTGTTTCCAATCAAGATAACACACATTAATGTTAAATGATTCATGTTATTAAGGTGATAAAACACTTACCTGCAAACATCAGTTCTGATACATCAGGTTTAACATGGAGGCATGTAAAAAGGGGCAGAGCAGACTGTGCATTCTTAATTTTCTCTTTCATGGTGGACAAAGTGGTGTCCATTCTCTATGAGAAAGAAGGAGCAGAAGCAATGTGAAGACTAGAGTTGCCATCATTGTCATCATCCTATAAGAACTGCAGAGCTGAAAGGGACCGTATGAATCATCGCATCCAGGCCCTGTTAGGGGAGTACAGTGAGGAATCAAACTCCCAAATTCTGATATATAAACCACTGAGCTATGCAGCAGCTGAATACTCTGCTATTACTTGATTGCCTTTGTAAAACTATTCAAGAAGGCAAAACAACAACAGAAGTACATGTGATTATGGACTGATAATCTTAAACAAAGTCCATGGCAATTTATGCAAACCATAATCTCTCAGAAACACGGTCAGGAACCTGGAACAGAAACAGCTCAGCCTGTGTCTCAAAGTATGCAAGTTACATTCAAAGAGTGAACAATTACAGCTACATTCTAAGATAGTCCCCCAACCAATAAGTCAATAAAAAAGATAACCATTTACGTTTACATTTATCAGATGTAACTTGAATTCTTACCCTTTCAGTTACTTTTTTTAAAAAATATGAAAGTTATAAAATTGCTGGCATATGATACAGAAAACATTCTCCTCCCATCCACTTCATAATCACTTCCATATCTTCAACGAAGTACAAGGAATAGCACATGCCAGTGCTTGAAGCATATGATATTCATCCTTCACTGTTTAGTAAAGGTAAACTCTACTAACTATTAAAGTAATCAAGAAAGTAACAATTATACCAACAAAGGAGTTGAGTTGCCCACTGTTAAGGTCCAATCATGCTATACCTTAATTGCACCTCAATTACTGGAAAAAGCAACTAATTACAAACCACTAATTATCTGTATCTAGTTACCAAATCCAAGAGACCTTATGCAGGATGAGCAACTTGTGGTCCTCCAGATGTTGCTGACTTGAAATATTCATCAGCCCTAGCCTGCAAAGCTAAGTAATATGGAACATGGGAGTTCCAGTTCAGTAACATCTGGAGACCCACAAGTCGGCCATGCTGTTCTTGTGTATTAATGGTAATAGCTACGTTATTGGTGCAATCCGATGAATAAATGGTAATAATGGTATTAATGGTAATAGCTAGGAAACAGTGGCTGGAAAACACAGTGCTAACCAATCTCTGCATCTCTAGTATTACTTTTGGCTCAGAAAAACCAAACTAAAAACATGCAGCACAATCAACTAGTGCAAAAGTCATAAAATCTGTTATCTGGAAAGAGCATTCCTACCTGATAGACAGGAGAATGGTGTAAGATGGTTCACACAATAAGACAATGCTTATGTAAGATAGAATTAGGGAAACAAATTAACAATACCAGCACAATCCAATTTTTTTGCAATTTTGTGCGATCAAAAATACAATTATACAAAGTCACATGAATTCATTGATAGAAGAAAGTTATTTTAAAAATACTACAGGATTTCCGATAGTAATATAGCATTACTGGTCCCACCCCCAAGATTTAGACAATTTTCACAATCATTTAAATAGAAACCTACATTTTGAATAAGTGTTTCTCCAATCAACATTCCAAAGATGTCTGTAAAGGTGACCGGTTGACCAGACCTCTTCTTTTTCCATAGCGCTTCAATATATCGTTTCACCTTCTGGGGAGTAAGCAGTTTTAATGGATTGTGGCTGACATTCATTCTCAACTCTTCATTTATCTCCTTTGGCCCCTTCACTGGGAAATCTGGGTGAGAATACAGTGTGGACATATACCTGTAAATTAAAGAAAGCTTTTCAGTAGGTATAAAGAGGTTCCACAAGTTCACCAACACCCAAGGTCAGAGGGTGACATAATACAAAATCTTTCATGCTGAAATCTGCTAGATCTTTTTAAGCTTGAAGTATAACAGGAAAAGCTACCTGTCCACTAACATCTGTTCCAGCAATTACTCTCAAGTGACTTAGACAAAAATGTTTCATCACGTTTCATTGTGATCTTTTAAATGGGTATGTCAGGTATTGAACCTGCGGCCTCCGGCATACAGGTGAGCTAAGGACCTGCACGGCCACTTCCAATATACCAAGCTGCTATAACCTACTGTTACAAGACCCAGCTGGAAGGACTGAAAGAACAGCTCTGGAAGCCTCATCAGTGCTGATTCCATTGTTGTAGATATGACTGCTTCTATCGGGGCTGCCTCCTTTTTGGCTTCGGAGGTTTCAATGGGCTTCCTCCAGTGTCGGAGGAATCCTTTTAAAAGCTCCAAAGGCAGGGAGGAAGGGCAGGAAATTCAAATTTCCCGCCCTTTCAGGTTCGTAACTCGATCTGCGTTCACAAATAGGATCTGCTACTTACGATGAGATTGGGTTCGTAACCAGAAACATTTGCAACTAGGGCCATTACACTGTTGGTTCATATTCAGCTTGTGATCTACGACAATTCCAAGATCCTTCTCACTCGTAGTTTGAAACTATTTTACAGTGCCCAGTCATTCACATGCACCTAAATTTTAATATAGACATGGACACATATAACTAAGAACACTGCCCAAAATCTCTTCACTTTAAGGTAATTTATTCTATAACCCAATAAGATAAGAAAACTTAAGACATGAATATTGACCTACCATGTGGATCCAGATAAGCCAGCAATATATGTTGCACAATCCAAAATTCCAGATTCATACAGGGCTTTCATCACACCTGCAAACCCCACCATGGCACGAAATCCACCACCAGATCCCAATATTGCGATCACCGGGACCTGAACATACATACGATAAGAAGGTGTTTTAAAGTAGTCACTGTTAGGCATAAATATCATATTAGATGCTCCTTTGTGTAAATATATCCTAGTGACGTTTTTTTAAAAGAAGAAAAGAAGAGCCCACAAGAACAATGGAAGGAAGAAGCTGCTTTAGCCATTCTCAGTCTGCTTTTCCCCCAGATTACAAACCCAAAGTATGGCTCCATTTCCTCCCAACACCTACATTTCAACTTTCCAAGAAACAAGAGGCATTTGACACCCTTCAGGGAAATAAGCTACAGTACTTGAGTGTGGAAAACACAGGAATGTTACATTCCCTCACTCCTTGAAAAGTTTCCCTCTTCATATTATTTCCTCTTGAAGGAGTCTTGAATGTTAGCTTCTGTAACATCTAGTTAAACCCTTCCTCTCTGCATTAGCCACTCAAAGAGATCAATCTTTGGTCAATACAGATTTAGACCTCTAACATGGGGCGCATGTGTGCATGTGGTGCTCAATATATCTGCTTACTGGTGTTCCTGTGCTTCTACCAGCCCAGATTGTCTTCAAATCAACTAAGGAACAAAAATAGTCTCTGACTGACTTAGAAGCCTTCTGAGTCAGAAAGACACTACACATTTCAGAAAATGAGCACTTTGGCAGTATATGCACATTCGTGTCTTTTCAACCTATCGCTCATTCTTCCTCAAACCATGTCAGTTTCTATTCTGCATCAAACAAATGCTGCAGTGGTTTTGGCTGGCAAATATCATTCAATTACCATATTTTTCCGTGTATAAGACCCCCCGAAATGTATAAAACAACCCCCTAATTTTGATCCTTGATGGAGGCGGAGGAGCAGTTAATGGGCAAGTGCTCTTCCATGTCTGTCTCCTGCTGCTGCTGCCTCCGCTGCCCGCCCAATCACCTCCTCCAGTGCGACTGCCGGGGCTCACCTCCAGCTCAAGTCACCGCCTTGTCCCCTGCCCTAAGGAGACGATGGCTGGAGGAGGTGATCCAGTGGTGGCGGAGGCAGGAAGAGGCGCCTGAGCGCAGAAATGGCAGGAACATCTAGTCCAACAACTTAACAATGCAGGAAATTTATAACAAGATCACTCCTAGCTAACGTCCATCTACTGTCCATTGCTTAGCTTTACCTCTTCTTTTTCCTTTTTTTCCCATCTTGGTCTCTTGTAGTACAATTGGGCCTCATTTTTTTAATGCATTTATGTTTTCATTTATTATATTTGTATCTTTGGCTATCAGTATTTTGTGTAAACTGCCCAGAGTAGAGATGTTCTAGATGGGAGGTATATACAGTCTAATAAAATAAATAAATAAATAAATCTTTTATTTAAAATTCTTCAGCGGAAGAGAATGACGTGAGGTATTCCATTGTTAAACCTTCTCCAAGAACTACTCATTGGCAGCACATCAACTTCATTTCCCATAAAGACTTACACTTAACCCTTTAGACCTCATCCTCTACTGAAGCAAAGCCAAAGAACATGTAGCTGCATGTTCTCATATCTTCCCTTGTTACTATTTCCCCAACCAACTCTAATGACAACTAGCCAATGTTATTCCCTATAGTACAGTGGTCCCCAACTTTTTTGGGGCCGTGGACCAGTTGGGGGTAGCAAGCTCCATGTGTGAGGGGGGGCAGGGACACCCCCTCGTTTGTTCGTTGGGTGTGTTATGCTCGCGTGGTGGGCGTGTCACACTCACACAGTTGGCATGTCACGCCTGTGGGGGGTGTCATGCTCGTGCATGAGACACACCCACCACAAGCGTGACATGCCCCCCGCAGGCATGACAACCCCCCCGCAGGTGCGACATGCCCCCCACGCAAGCATGACATGCCCACTGCACATGCGTGCAGGGGGATGGCGATCCATATCCATGGCCCAGTTCTGGCAAGCCCATGAACTAGATGCTCTAGTATATCTCTGTTTGGCTTGGGGCCCAGTTTATCACTTTTTTTTCTCATGCAGTAACAATATGTGCACATCTACTGAAAATTCCCTCCAATCCAGCATAACTTAGTCCCAGAACTTTCTCCTGTCTGTGTCAGAATTCGTTCGTTCGTTTAGTCGTTCAGTCATGTCTGACTCTTCATGACCCCATGGACCAGAGCACGCCAGGCCCTCCTATCTTCCACTGCCTCCCCGAGTTGTGTCAAATTCATATTGGTTGCTTCAATGACACTGTCCAACCATCTCATCCTCTGTCATCTCCTTCTCCTCTTGCCCTCACACTTTCACAACATCAGGGTCTTTTCCAGAGAGTCTTCTCTTCTCATGAGATGGCCAAAGTACTGGAGCCTCAGCTTCAGGATCTGTCCTTCCAGTGAGCACTCAGGCTTGATTTCCTTTAGAATTGATAGGTTTGTTCTCCTTGTAGTCCAGGGGACTCTCAAGAACCTCCTCCAGCACCACAATTCAAAGGCATAATTTCTTCGGTGGTCTGCTTTCTTTATGGCCCAGTTCTCACTTCCATACGTCACAACAGGAAAAACCATAGCTTTGACTATTCGGACTTTTGTTGGCAAGGTGATGTCTCTGCT